TCCCAACACCATTCCTGCAGCATGAATCCACTTCGCATCTCACCTTTAGGCCATTCTCTAACACAACACTGCATGTATCTCCAAGCTACAGATCAAACTTGATTAGATCTGAAGTTGAGCAATCACATTACAGTGGATGCCCAACAGCAAAACAAGTGGAAGCCAGGTGAATTAACACCATCCAAGCTGCAAGCCTTAAGAATTCTCAGTTCACGTTCTATTTTTTAAAGTTTTAATAAGCATTGGCATTCAAATACACAATACTGTGTGAGAATCAGTACAGATTCATAAATTTGGATCAGGCAAGCATCAGAAGCCTACAATATAGACTGTAGATCACCATGGGATCGCAGGGGAATAGAGATCATCATATCTGAGTGGTCATTCATTCAAATTAGTTACAACTGCATCTTCCTTCCATGCTCCAAGAAACAACTGGGACATGGGTGCCACGAGCTATATATTCAAGCCTCATTCCCTGAAAGTTAAGTAGGCCCCCACAAGTATGAAGCTGAGGGAAGTGGTACATGAGAATTGGAACCATTCCAAAACTGGAAAGGGATCAGTTCCTGAAGATGCAGAAACCAGACCAGCCTTCCTCTTCTGCAAAAAAAAAGGGAAGATTTTCTGAATTCTTGTCTGAGAAAACATGCAACTATGAACCCTTTGCTTCTATTCACTTCTCCTTTGAGCTCTAGCAGAGAAGGCAAAGTCTTCTTCGTACAAATTCAGTTTTTTTCCACTGTGATGAAAGAAGGTTTGCAGCCAAAATCCAATGCTTCAAAAAGAGTAGAATACCCTGTCCTTAGAGCCTGGGAAGCCTTTAAAAAACACTGTACCTTTATTCATGCTTCCCACACATATGCCATTTCAGTATGTCCTTCCCTCCACCATAGTACAGGCCAAGGAGCTTTACAGTTATAAAGAAAGCTGCACCTGGTACCAAGCTTTTGAGCAGCTGCAGTGTGTCACTTGCACAAGAGAGCAGTTGTCACTTAAGCCACAGAGGAAGTTATCTGTTGAACTGGACATTTGATCCTCCAGTTGGACACTACAGGGAGAAACTGTTAGGGGTAATGCACTAATAAGATCTGGCAGGCTTTGAGCCCCTCCCACCAATGAACAACTGCAGCATTTTAAAGTCCTTTCCCTTCACACTCCACAGGTGGGCTCAGGGATAGGGCAGAGTTAGCAATTTGGAACTCATTAGCAGAGGGACTACACCAAGAACCTAACATCATCTGTCTTCAAATTCAATAGCAAGTTGAGACAGGCCATCTCACTGTGGTGTTCAAGAGAACCCAAGGTTATCTCTTCTGCCACCTTTGTTCTTTGCCAGCAGACTGTTTTCCCACACTGGTATAGGCCTTACAGCTCAACTCTAACATAACAGTGCTTCCAGAAGAACTCCACAGCTACTTCAGCTGTTCACCAATACCATTTCTTTCTCACCAGCTGCCCTGTGTTGGCAGGGAGGCAGAACTGTCACTTCAAATTCTCCTTAACAGTGCAAGTTCCAGTACTGATACTCATCCCCACAGCAGATAGCCAGACATCAGAGTTTGTTCTGGCTCAAGAGACTTGACAAACACAGCAACTGGAAGAATGCAGCTGTCCAAGGGTAAGCGTTCGCTTTGAAGAAAGACTAATGAAGCCTGTGCTACAGGTGGGCATAGCATATAGCTGGATAATCACTGCAACACGAGTTTCATCTACAGTCACACCAGCTGTAGCCTGAAAGATTAAGCAAGGGACCACCTAAGTAGAGTGGGAGAGGTCAGACAGAAAGACAGGGAACAAGATTAGCATTACAATACTTAATACCTGCATCCTGAGAGGAGGGACTACTTGAAGACTTCAAACCAAAGACTAGATGTTGCTCAGGGGAAGTGAAAACTTCACTTACAGTCATATACATCTGTCTGTTCTGTACAGAGCAGATAGATATGGTCCTCAAGTAATAAAATGCAACAACGCTAGACTGCTGTGTCTCAACCAGAATTTGAAAGGTCAGGTAGAGAAATTCAGGGCTGCAGCTTAAAAAGCTGTCAAAGTACGGCACCTCTGTGAAGGAGTCTGAACTCAGAAGTTTTCTTCAAGTAGGGCAGGACACAGCTGGTTTTGACAAGGCACAGACTTTCAACACACTGTTGAAAGCAGTGGACAGGACAGGTATTATTTTGCCCCTGCATCAGAGAGCATTTCCCCAACAGCCAGTTCTACCAAACTTGCAACCCACCACAGATTGGTCCTGCAGGAGACAGTGGTCCTTGTTAGGCTCCCTTAGTTTTCTTAGAGACCAGCTGTCTTAAAAACAGTGACATCACACAGTCTTACTACAGATGACAAATTCACATTAAGACAGTAGAGAATGTCATATGTCATCCATTTTCCTTTGCCTCCATGTAGCTCAGGTGGTGAATTTGGCAGCCAGGTATTGCAAAGTCTGAGCAAGCTTTAAGACCTCTGCCACTGGATCTCAAATTCCTCTCTCATTTCATCCCCTTGAAGTCCCCCCCTTCAAAGAGTCTGATGCTTCTTCCTCAGCCTCTTGAATTCTTCAAGCAAGTCAAAGGAATCTGGGGAAATTCTCTCAGGAAAACAAAGAGACTGTACCTACACCCTTGCAGTAAATACAAGCTGATAAAATTTTGCCTTGGGGGAAATTTAAGATTCCACCATAAAAAGCTGTAGTAAGTTTTTACAAGTCATCTATCCACCTTACAAAGGAAGAGTCAGCGTACTGGCCAGTATATAAGAATTAATAAAAATACCAAGTTTATAAACACACCTGCTTCACAGAACCAATAAGCAAACACAGATTTTACATTAGCACATATATCTGATCAGTAGTGGAAACATACTTACCGCAATACGCTTTTTGCTCCCATACATTTGATGTCATATGAGACAGAGTAGATCTCATAGAAGGTCGCCTTGATGTTTAAGCAGCCAATAAAATCCTTAGGGTTCAGCTTGTACAGATCAAACGTGATGTTAGCTACTCCCATTTTCTTCTTTTGTCTCACAGCAGCAGCTCCATTTCTTGTCTAATTTAAAAAGAGGGACAGTTTGTACTGTGAGCCAGGAAACTACAGCAAGACAATCGTTAACAGCACAGCTTGCTTATTCCAACTAGTCTTTGGGCTAGTTCTTGATCAATTCTAAGCTAGAATTAAAAGCATTAGCACAGAGAAAAGCAAGTCTGTAGCTTACGCAATTTTGCTCAAGTCCTGACCAGGCTTCTGAAGCTATTCTAGACAGACACAGAAACTCTAGATTAACGCAGCACCTCCTGAATACTTCTTTCCTGTAATACAGCTGCTTCTTCATATATATATATGTATACTGAAGCCACAGGTAATGCCACTGGACAGTGTTCCTGCCATTTAATTATCCTGATATGTTCCAGCTGCTAGCTGAGGCAGCACAACTAGTCCACACTGAAACAGGCCACCAAATTACCAGGACGACATTAGGTCCTTCCATTTAGGAAGGAACACAATACTGATGAGCACTCTTAAAGATAGCCGCAAAGATGACATCTGTGAAAAGTCAGGTCCTCATTTCAAATCCTGGCTCATAGCACCTCTTTTTCTTCCTACTAAAAAGTTAACATGGGGAGGGAACCACTACTGATTAGGCCTAGGGTTTAATACTGAGTTTTTAAGAGAAAAAGCAAAGGAAGAGGAGCGTGGAAAATCATCTTCCACCTTCAGTCCAGCCTCTTTTATTGAAAGCAGCCCTTGTCTGCTTCAGGGCTGACAGTGATGCTTTCAGGACACTTGCTTCGGGGAGGGGGGGGGGGGGGAAAAAAAAAAAAAAAAAAAAAAGACAGAGAGAGAGAGAGAGAGAGAGAGAGACTAGTGAAGCCAGCCCGTATTTACAGAGACCTCTAGTGGGTGCAGGGGACACCCTGCTCAGCATTTTCCACCCAAGGTTAACGGCTCTGCAGCTGCCAAGCCGGATTTTGCATGCTAAATGAAGCAATAAAGTTGCATAAGGCTGGGCCTTTTTGTACTTGTCACCCCAGCGCTCAGACAGTGCCATGATAAATCAGACCAAGTTAAACACTGTAGTATATCATTAGCCAGCAATTTGATGCCTGTTTTACTTCGATAGCCTCCAAGCTCCAGCAACAGGGCCCCCTATCAACAACAGTTTTGGACATGTACAAGTAGTTAGTATGCTTGGCAGTGTATCCCCCTCCCCAGTAGCACCCAGAATATTTGGATAAAGCATGACAGAACTTGTGCTATGCTCCAGGTGATCTGCGAAGCTGCGGCAGTCCTTCTGCTGTCATTCAGCACATCATGAAGAGGGACAGCATTCAAACTTGTTCTGCTGCCATGCCAGACAGGACATAGGGCAGAGGAGGAAGGAGCAAGGTGGACTCATACCCTGGCTGCAACTTCCTTTCTGCTCTTGGAGCTCATGGCCCAGATGCAGCAGGTTGGTAAGCCAGTGAAGTATCTTGGGGAAAAGCGTACAAACAAAATGCAACAGGAGACTGACAAAATGGGGCCACACGATTGAGCTATCCGTGTACAAACAGAAAAATGGTAGGCCTGCTTACAGCTCCTCAGCTAGCTCTGCACCTGGTTGAAGAAATTTTGATGCTAGCTTTCTAGCAACAACCATTTCATGGAAAGCCAATTTGGAGTTTGACTTATCTTATTAACATACAGATGACTGTTCCCCCACAAAACCACAAACTGAACACTGAGTTGATGTGATTAGAAGGCTAAAGCTAGCCATCCTTAACAGTTCTTAAAATATCTTGAAGCATGTAGGCTACCATTAGGTTTTGATGACAACTTTTAGTTGTCTGCAAGATTAAATACAGGAAATTTTCTAACCTTTACTAAACCATTAGTGCATTCACAAGGCAAAACTTGTTTCACATCACTTAATTTGGGCATTTTTTTCCCCTCTAAAAGCTAACCTTTAAAGACATTGTATTTTTAACTTCATGCTGTCAAAGTCCTAATTTTCTTTATGTTACAAAAAGGCTCAAGAACAAGGTTATTTCTGAGGCTCTCCAAAAGCAGGGGATTTCCCCTATAACTCTTTTCAGTTGTAATATTTCATTTCAATTTTTGGCAGATCTTTGCCAACAGTTCTATGTCTAAGCAAGGGACAAAAAAAAAAAAACCCAAAACCCCAAACAAAAAAAAGAGAACTTGATTTGTCATCCAGGAAGGCTCAACAAGGAGCTGATACCTTGCTGCCTTTAGGGGAAGTTTTCTTCCTCTCCTCCCCTCTTTCCAACAATTTTAGCAGCCATGGACATTCTTCCATCCACTTCTATTCAAGTGAGAGAGGCAGTCAACACTTACTTGTGTCCATTTCTGTCCTTTTTCTAGAACCATGAAGTGTGTATTATCATCCAGGGACTTGAAGAACTCTTCTGTGTCCACAACTGTGCCATCTTCCTCCAAAACCAGAGTAATAATTCCAGCAGATATAAGGAAGGCATCTAAAGTCTGCAAAAAACCCAGTAGATTTTAGCATTCAAAAGAGGACTCATCATTTAATATTAACACTTGCTTATCTGACATATTCTCCTGAACTTCCCCAGTAATGATTTTTAGAAGAACAAGAGTCTGTGGGTTGCCTTTCTGGGATTCTGTACTTCACTATAAATTTCAGCCAGAGTGGGAATGTTTGCTATACCTTGCTGATGAGCTCTTGCAGACTGCTTGCAACAATTCCTTTCCGGCTGCTTCGGGAGGCATTCGACACACGGAAAGGTCGGCCTGCAGGCATGAGAGGAGGGAACAGGGTCTGTTTTGTTACTGCTCCCACAGATGCTCCCATGGATACCAAAGATCTAAGACAAATAAAAATTCAGCATAGTTATAAAAATAGTCATGTCAAGTACTGTGAGAAGGACTGTTGAATTCAGTGACGTAAGCACATTATACGAGTAATTCACAGATCACATTAGACTCATGGAGCTTGCTTTCAAAACTAAATACTACATAGCCCTACAGACATGTTGTCTCTGAACTTTCTCTTGCCAGTGACATTTGAAAACACTTCTAAAATTAAAAACATTTCAAGCAGATGTGGGCCACCTCTAGCTCAGCTGATATCAAGGTCATGATTACAGTGCGGCTGACGGGTTTTAACACTGAATTTGAAAGGCAGCAGCTCTTACTGCATTCAGCCACTTAGATCATTCTCTTTACCTACAAGATAAACACTCAATGAGATAACACACAAGACTACTTTCAACTAATTATTTAAGATATGAATTTGCTTTAGGGAGGCTGAACATATTATCCGTATTCAAAACACCTAGCATCAGAACGCAAGTGGAGCTTTTCAATATAGTCATGCTTGACTTTGAAACAGCCAAGGGGTTTATCTTGTAAATATCTACAGCCTATAAAACTTCATCTAGTTTTGAAAATCACAAAATAAGACTTATTTGTGCCCTAATGTATCAAAAATAGTCAAATGAAATTAAAATTAAGACCAAAGTACATAAATGCATAGTGTTGGAGCAGACTGCCAGAGAGGCTGGAAGAATTCAAAGACTTTTAGAAAGAGATTTAAAATTTTCATGGGCAATGGCATGTTTTAATAGTGAGTGTTTAGGTTCCTTTACGTAAACTGAGGGCATAACACTGGTAACTGCCTACTCCCAGACCAAGGTACAAACTTGCTCCCATCTACATCTAGTGACAGCTTTTTGCTGCCAGATTACATTGGTTAATTGAATAGCCAGCTTGCCAAAAATTGCCCTCTGCATGACACCTGGAAAAGATTGATCTCTAACCAGCCTTGTAAAGGGAGACTATTTTGTCTTCCTGCATTCCTGGACTTTACCCCTTTTGCTCCTTAATACCAAATTGCACAGGGGTGGGAAAGGGATGCACCCCCGTTCTGTTCTCCTACATCGGTGTAAAAGGTCAGCTTTATGTAAGAAAATCTATTCTCATGCTTTCACGGAGGGGGAGGGAGCAAACTGGCAGTCTCTTTCTGCAGCCAGCGTCTGAATACAGGAATTCCTAGAACAACGATGAAATGGTGTAAAGTTACTCAACTAATAATGTCCCAGTCATACCTTTTCTGCAAATCCACATTGACCAGGGAGAATAACTATCTTTTTCCAAACCTCTTATTTGGTCTTTAAGCATATTTTTGGGATGCATAGAAAGTAATTTTTGTGACTGGACAGACAGAGTTTCAGCAATTAATTTATTTCCTGCTCTCATTCTGAACCGCTCTTCTACAGGGCTTTGGGCTGTTGCCTTTCCTCTGTACACCGGAGTCTACCTTCCTCAAAACCTCCTCAGCATTATTGGAGCTTTTATTTTTTTTAAAGGAGAGGGATGTTCAACAGTTTTATTCTAGCTCAAGCTAATACCTTCTTGGTAGTGCTGTCTAAACACTAGGTCCCTGGCTTTTAACAGCTTGCATACATACACGGCCGATAGAAATCTCTCTCCTTCCTATAACACCAGTGGTGAGGATGAGCAGTCAGCGTGGTTTTCAGGAGACAGGCACTGTTTCAAATTAAAGAGCTAATAAGCACTTTCCTCCTGGAGAAGGGTCAAGACCAGGGAGGAGGACAGGTGACAAAGTAGCACTGACAAAGGTATTGAAGCTCCACAGAAGGGAAGCTTGCTAGGACAGGGCATGTTTGTTAATCTCTGACTAAGTTAATAGTCCCCCAATCACCCCACTGCTCCGTGGGCAGCTCCCATTCTGAATCACTCCAGTCTTTTCCTCAGATATGGAGCCTGCTCATCTACCTCAGGGCTGGTGACTCCACCTCACAGGGCACCCTGACGTTGCAAAGCGCAACACCCGGGATTCAAGAGACAACACTTTCAGAGCTAGTTACATCCTGTTCCCTCTCGCACATTTGAAAACTAGCACGCAGGATAGTTACTTGAGTGGTATAGATGACAGTACTGCCAAGGGGTTGGTTTGGGTGTTTTTGGGGGGTTTTTTGTTTGTTTGTTTTTTCCACAAGGACAGAAAATATCAGTCCCATTGAACAGTTTTCTTTCCCATTACTTAAGCCAAGTTGTCATTCACAAAAGACAAAGCATAAGGAAAAAAGCCCAAACATACATCCCGATACAGAAGGAAAAGAGTTAGGGGCACAGTTCATGGGCAGGACCTGAGCTAACAGTGTTCACCTGAGGCATTAGCACAGCCAACTATACAAGCTGTATTTTGCAGCTCTGAGCAGAAGTTTTTTCAGGATTCAAGATCAATCACCTCACACTGCTGCCTAGTTCTATCAGGTGTAAAAAGTCAGAGGAAAAAAAAAAACCCAACGGACTAATAACACAGGACTTTCATTAGCTCCACCAGACAGTCACTTAACAGAAGTCCAAGTCTCCAGGAGTTATTTAACATTGATGCCATTTCACCTACACTTCAATAAAACCAATCAATATCTTTAAAGTAAGTCTGCTAATGAAGCAGTGAGTCTGGGCTCCAGTGCAGGCTGAGGTTTCTGTTAATGAGAAGTACTAAGAACCAAAAGCCAGTGTGATTAAAAAAAGCCAGATAAACAGAGTGTTAACCCTTTCATTCCTGGGCTCATTGCTGAAAGCTTGTTTTTCCTTTGTGCCCCCGCAAGGCCACAGATTCAAATGGGCCAGCCTACGTTCAGGGCTCCTTGAAAAATACCTTTTTGCTGCAGCTGCCCTCAGAAACCAAACTGATTCCTGATGCAGGGAATTCCCCTTCTAGATTGGAAGTACTGAATATAATTTCCTATTAAAAGCTGATCAAGCTAAGTCAGGAGACAAGTGGTGGAGAGGAAAGAAACAAACTAACATACAGTCAGCCTTCTTAGAAAGTCGAGTGATATGTTAGATACAGACAACTCCACTATTATTTTATTATTCTTTAAAGTCAAAAGGATCAAGTGCTAGCTCTTCCCTAAAGGACAGAGGGATCTTATGTCAGTGGAAACCACAAAAACGTATTTCTAATTGAAAGAGCAAATATCTTCAAACTCTAGCATCTTGTCCAGTTTTTGTATAACTACAACCTGCTAGAGATGGACTTGCAGATACTGCCCCAAGCATTCAATGTAGGGTCAAGGCTAGTGGGACAGATTAATTGGTGGGACAGATTAATATTTTTTTTTTTTTTTTTGAGGAGAACCCGGGGATTAAAAGCCTGCCTTGAGACCTGTACACATATTTCACTCGTTATCTTTTTTTGCAATATGCCTCTTATGCTTGTCTAAGAATGTGGTGCAATGGTCTTCAGCCTTACTCGGAAAAATCAACGTTGCACAACACGAGTGGCTTCAGAATATGGCACGGTTTGATTTTTAGGTTAGAGTTGACAGGCAAGCGATGACAACGGCGGTAACAGCGAAGCAAAAATAAAAAGGTCAGAAATCAGGCAGGAGACTTCGGGGCTCGCCCGGATTTGCAGACTTGCTTTCCCTGCTTAAACGTGAACTGCAGAGGTACCAGAGCGGCAGCTAGAACCAGATGCATTGCTGAGCGGCGCACGGAGCTCTCCGCCTGTCCGGCTGCG